CACGCGTGCACCCCCTTGCTTGCTGCCACGCGCTGCCGTGAAGGTGTTGGAAAGAGCGTTTGACTCAACTGAAGGTTAGCGCGGACAAGATGCAGCACGCAGCTTCGGTGCGGCCATTGGGCCGGAACTTGACCGAAGCAGAGCTGACTCACATGGCAGCTTAGCTGGCTCCATGAGGTCATTTCCCTTATGTGGTACCCTCCTGACTCTGATTTGGACCGAGGCACTCTTAGGAGGCATGGACAACGAGGCAGGGCGTGAGGTGCTTCGCGCACGCCGCCACCAAGCTGCACTTGTGGCACGGGACTTGTGGCACTTCAGGAGGACGACCGGGAACAGGCTGCTGAAATACTCAAGGATGCTTGGCTCGAAATGCAGGGCGCAGGGCACTCATGAGAGCCCCTTGCTTCATGTGCTGAGGAGAAGACGCTTTTGCGCCGAAAAGAAGAGATGGAGAAGGAAGCGGCCAAGGCTGCAATCCAACCAGCGCGAGGCCTGCAGCCGTGTTTGGAATGGGTTCTTTTTTTGCAGGGAATGAGCCCACCATGTGGAGAGTGCAGCGCGGCACCCTGCAGGCTGGATGGTGGTTCACGGCGCGGACTTTGCATCTGAGCTGCGAAGCAATCCTTCTTAGCTGTCTTGTTGTCCACCGCAAACGTGTGGTTGATCCCGAACCGACTGAGCAGCTTGTTCCTCGTTTTGTCCAACCGTGACACCATTGAATGCTTGTGCTGCAGAGGTCACGGTTTCGAAGGAGATGGCCAGATTTCGGCACTTGTTCGTGAAGTGCGTGGCCCAGGTGGGAAGACTGGAGTCATATTTGCATGCCTACGTCCCACAAGAGAGCATGCTGGAGAAATGCTGGGTGCACGTGATCCCGAATGCCTGAGCCAATGTTGACAGGCGCTTGACGTGCCGTCGGGCATTCTCACGGCCAGGGTCTCAGAGCTCCGAAATGGAGCCACAGACTTTGTCACCTTTGATGCTAAGAGGTAAAACTGCATGTCGAGCGGTTGAACAACAAACAGCTAGATGACGGGCGGCATAGAAGCATAGAGGAACATTAATTCAGACCATGAAGCAACACTGCAATTCGTCGGACATGTGCTGACGCGCATTCTCATTGAATGACGCTCGCGCCGAGCTAGAACAAAGGCAAGCGCACGCACATACACTAACCATCGAACAAAGATATTTAGCAAGCTGCAAAGATCGATGCCAGTGCTAATGCTGCAAGCTGAGGGAGTTGGCAAACAATCAATTAATTAATTCATCAATCAATCAATCAGTCAGTCAGTCAATCAATCAATCAATCAACCAATCAACCAATCAATCAATCAGTCAATCAGTCAATTTGTCAATCAGTCAATTTGTCAATCAGTCAATCAGTCAGTCACTCACTCACTCACTCGATCAACCAATCAATCAAGCAAGCAAGGAAGCAAGCATTCAAGCAAGCAAGCAAGCAATCAACCAACCAACCAACCAACACATCAACCAACCAACCAATCAACCAGTCAACCAATCAACCAATCCATCCATCAATCCATGGATCCATCAATCCATCAACCCATTAATCCATCAATCCATCAATCCATTATTCCTTCAATCCGTCAATCAATCCATCAATCCACGATTCAATGAATCAATGGATCAATAAATGAATGAACGAACGAACAAACGAACGAATGAACGAATGAATGAATGAATGAATGAATGAATGAATGAATGAATGAATGAATGAATGAATGAATGAAATGAGTGAATGAATGAGTGAATGAATGAATGAATGAATGAATGAATGAATGAATGAATGACTGAGTGAATGAATGAATGAATGAATGAATGAATGAATGAATGAATGAAATGGAATGGAATGGAATGGAATGGATTGGAATGGAATGAATGAATGAATGAATGAATGAATGAATGAATGAATGAATAACATGAATGAATGAAATCAATGATATGAATGAATTAATCAATCAAGCAACCAATCAATCAATCAATCAATGAATCAACCAATCAATAAACCAACCAACCAACCAACCAACCAACCAACCAACGAACGAACGAACCAACCAACCAACCAACCAACGAACCAACCAACCAACCAACCAACCAACCAACCAACCAACCAACCAACCAACCCACCAACCAACCAACCAACCAACCAACCAACCAACCAACCAACCAACCAACCAACCAATCACACCTATCCATCTATCCAACTAAATCTATTCTATCTCATGTGTCTATCTATCTATCTATCTGTCTATCTATCAACCTATCAACCTATCTATCTATGGATCTGTTTGTCGCATCTTCCGACAGCGCTGCGCCTGCCACGAAATGTGCCATGAATGAAACAAAATCAGCAGCTGACTTTGCGAAAGCGCTGTGCTAGCCACGAAATTTGCAGCTGACCCTGCGAAATCGCAGCGCCTGAAACAAAATTTACAGCTGACCCTGCGAAAGCGCTGCGTATGGAACGAAATCTGCAGCTGACCTTTTGAAAGCGCTGCGCATTCCACGAAATTTGCGCATGACTGTGCGAAAGTGGCCCGAAATCTGCCACTGACCCGGCGGCGCCACGGCGAGAGGCGCACGATCTTGGTAGGGGGCTGTGTTTCTATAGCTCCCGAGGCCGCGGAAAATGATGAAGAGCAAAGACGAACTAGTAGCATGTTTTTCCGAAAAGTTGCCTGGCTATTTTTGTGCTAGTGTTTTTTTAGAACACTGATGTTGGCCTGTGTTTCTAGGATAGTAAAGTAACAGTGCAAGAGTTGGCAGGAGCTGCCAGATGAAGTTGGAAGCCAAACGACAAAACAACTAAAGCTACCCCTCCCCCCACTGAGCGTTACTGCCGCCCCACCTCCTCCCTCGCCCCTCCCTTCCCCGGGCGTTCCAGATTGTGGACGTGACACCGGGCAGCGTCGTGGTGGAGTTCCTGATTCATCCGTCCCTCCGCGGGGGCGACCGCCGGAGCGCGCCTGGGCGCAGCTTGCGAAAGTTGTGAAGCCTGTGATCGGTGATGAACTGACGAAGAGGGGTCTTTGCACTACACGCTCAATGCCCTGGCGCTCAATAACATGATCTGTTTGAAGCAGCCGTTGGGAGCCATGCAGAAGGCAGAAAACCTGCTTGTATCCAATGAGTAATGGGCAGGCTCCCTGCCTAGCATTTTGAAATTAGGGTGGCCGATGCACTGTTTCGCCGGTTTTGTGCCTGACAAGGCGATTCAGCTCCTTGTGGCTCTGGCAGCTGCTTGGCTGGGTGTGTTACCAATCGTTGGCCAGAAGCCCGACTCACCGATCCCCATAATTTTCGGAGCTCAGGAGCAGCTCATCAACGGCAAGAGCACGCTGCGGCGGGGCCACTTCAGCGCCTATGCTGCCAGCGAGCCTTGGCTTTTACTGGCATCACTTGGACCCCCCTGGGGATGGCAATCGCACCGCTTCCCGAGGCTGAGCTGCTGGTTGGTGAGACGCGAAGAACTGCAGTGTCTTGGCATGAGGCTGACCCAGATGACAGCAGCGCTGAAGTCAACATCAATACCGGTTTTGATTGCACGCAAGGAGGCAGGAATTGTCAACATGAGGTTCACCCGCTGTCCATTGCCGACGGGGTCATTTGTGTCGGCCTTGGTTGTGCTGCAGGCTTACACTTGGCAAATCGAACGTGCGGGCGTGGGAGGTTGCGACCAGTCGGTGCAATGCTGCAATCCACAAGCTGTCCTGGATGAGGCTGGTTGTGTAAGTAGATGTGCGGCCATGGTCGTACGGATCAAATCCAAGCAATCAACGCACCATTGGTAGGTGCTGGCACGGCTTGAGACAGAGAACAAGCGAGCAGACGCTAAGAATGCAAGGGTGGTGCCCAGCTGTGGAATTCGCGCGAAGAATTTGCTTGTATAATGTCAGCGCGTTTCTCAACCAAGGAGGTGGCAGAGGAGAAATATCGACAAGCAGTAATTGAGCTCCGGAGAAGGGACGAATCGGCAGCTTAGCATGCACGAAATAGCCTGCTTGCCTTCCGCCTTGGGCTGGTGGGTCGGTGCTTTCGAGGTCAAGTCTTTGACAAAGCTGCTGGATCAAGCAAAGCAGCAGGAGGAGGACTCGTGTGGCTTGCAGCAACTTGCCGAGTTGCGGATGGCACCCGGCATGTCCTATGCACAGGAGAAGAAGGAGGAGGAGCGAGACGCCGAAATGCGAGAGTCGCTTTGGTCAAAAGGGGGGGGCTTTTTCTTTTTCAGGTTCAGTGAGAGCTGCGCAGAGCCTGCGCCATGCTGAGGTTTGGGCAGCAGCTGCGGCAGCTGGAGGACTGCTTGATGCCAACTTGACACGACATTGGCAGTTGCGCCTTCCGCATGGTGGAGTCCATGGCCGGACATCGACGGCACCTCTTGAATGTGTAACTTGCGGTTTTTCCACTCGCGCATGCATGTAGTCAAGAGCTGAGTCGGGAAAACACCTATCTCAGGAGCTCGCGAAGCAGCAGGCCTTTGAGGTGAAGGAGCAGCAGAGAGACAAGGAGCTCACCGAGCAGGGGGGCCCAGTGCAGCTTCAGAGTCTAAGGTGTGGTATGCAACTTAGCATGGGGCGGGGCAATTTGGCGCGTTATTTCTAGATGTTTCGAACGCATGTGTGGGCAAAGGCTGTCCAATGTCGAGGCCGTTCGAGGTAATTTTGCTCTATGGACTGGGACGTGATGCTCGGGCACTGGATATGAAGAGCAGCCTCGCGTTTAGGAAGTTGATGGACATCCTCCCCGGTGTGGTTTAGTGGGATGACGGCCTGTTTTGGCGCCTCTTGTGCCTGGAAGCCCTGGATTCTGCGCCGCAAATGTCCATAGCCTTCCAGGCCCTCCCTGCGGAGCTGGTGTGGTGTTCGACTCTGTCCAGGACCTTTGGCACCGGCAAATTGTCCCCTCTGCGCTGAAACCTTTCGGCCGCGCGACCAAAGCGAGCGGGGCTGGGAGCTGGCGCGGGCATCCCGCCCCGTGAGCTGCCCGCTCTCGAGGGCTTCCCGGGTAAGGCCACCAGAGGGAAGCGTGGGCCAACGGAGGTGGGCGAGGACGAAGGACTGGCTCCGCAGGTTCCTGTGGCAGACAAGTGACGGGACGCTGTTCGAGCTCGGCCACTTGTCTTTTGAGGTTGTGCAGCTCTCCCTTGAGCCGTTCGAACCCGGACAGGCTGAATCTGATGTTTTGCACGTGGGAAGGTGATGGGAAAAGGCATTGCAGGACTCAGCTCAAGTATGTAGCAGCAATTGATTGCAGCTTTGAACCAGTCCCACTTTTCATTTCCGGGTTGGTTGCCAAGGTTGCAGGGCCGTGTACTCATTTGTCCACAGTTGGTGATCTGAAGGCACCCTATATATATATACATGTATATTTTACATGTATGTATGTATGTATGTATGTATATATATATATATATGGTCACCCCCCCCTGCATGACCTACCGTTGTCTTTCAAAAAGTCGTTGGGGACCATTAGCAGACAATAAAAAAGTGAAAACACAACACCTGTTTTTATGGTTTTCGATTAAGCAACAACACAGTCAACCATTGAACAATTAAGAAACACCAGTGTGTTTTGATGGTTTTAGCAAAACATGTGCAAACCCATGTTTTTTTTTAGAAAAACAGGAAAGCATTCAACAAAAACAAGTGTAAAAACTGATATGTTTTTCAGATAGATCCCTAAGTCAAAAACTAAGAATTCCCTGGGTTTTTGATGGTTTTGCAGTAAAACCTTCAGAATTCCTTGGGTTTTTAGCATTTTTCACATAAAACCAAGAAAACCTCGAATCCACTATTTTCAGGTAGATGTTTGGTCCACTACAAAATCTTGGATTCTTGGTTTTCTCGAGGTTTTCTTGGTTTTCTTGGTTTTACTTGGAAATTCTTGGATTTCCAGCAAAAAACCAAGAATTACTGAGTTTTTTTGGATTTCCAGCAAAAAACCAAGAATTACTAGGGTTTTTGGATTTCCAGCAAAAAACCAAGAAAACCTCGAGAAAACCAAGAATCCAAGAATCCAAGATTTTCAGGTAGATGTTTGGTCCACTACAAAATCTTGGATTCTTGGTTTTCTCGAGGTTTTCTTGGTTTTCCTGGTTTTACTTGGGAATTCTTGGATTTCCAGCAAAAAACCAAGAATTACTGAGTTTTTTTGGATTTCCAGCAAAAAACCAAGATTTACTAGGGATTCTTGGTTTTCTCGAGGTTTTCTTGGTTTTCCTTGTTTTACTTGGGAATTCTTGGTTTTTTGCTGGAAATCCAAAAAAACCCTAGTAAATCTTGGTATTTTGCTGGAAATCCAAAAAAACCCTAGTAATTCTTGGTTTTTTGCTGGAAATCCAAACAAGTCGTGGGCCAGACATCTACATGAAAATCTTGGATTCTTGGATTCTTGGTTTTCTCGAGGTTTTCTTGGTTTTCTTGATTTTACTTGGGAATTCTTGGATTTCCAGCAAAAAACCAAGAATTACTAGGGTTTTTTGGATTTCCAGCAAAAAACCAAGATTTACTAGGTTTTTTTTTTCCAGCAAAAAACCAAGAATTCCCAAGTAAAACAAGGAAAACCAAGAAAACCTCGAGAAAACCAAGAATCCAAGATTTTGTCGTGGGCCAGACATCTAAAACAACAGAAATACCAGCACCAACTGAAGACGAAGAAGAAGAACCACAAAAATATAATTTTGAAAAATTAAAATCTTAATAATATCATATATAATGGGTATTGGTAAAAGTAAAAATAATGAAAATATTAGTTTGGAAGACATTAAGAATTTAAGTATAGATGAAAAAACACGAGCAGACACTTTAATTATTAAATCTCTTCAAGAATGTGTGACACGAATTGAGAAACTAGAGAAAGGAAAATCTGACAAATTAATAGATACACTTCCTGCCTTACAATTTTGCAATGCTTCGTTAATTTAAATTAATAATATTAGCATATAATAATATTATTAATTGCTATCATAATCTGTCATTTTATCCTCTGGTATTGTTGTTGAAGTAGTACTACTTATATCATCTATTAAATCTTCTTCATCAACAAAATTATTTTGAAATCTTAATAATTCCTCGTCTGTTGCCCTTCTTTTCAATACTTTATAAAGTTTATGTATCCAAGAATTAGTATGAAAATTACAATTACCTCTACGATAAAATCCACCACATCTACATAGTTTCATTGGCATATTACTATATTATATTAAATTAGAATATCTTTATTCATCATTCGTAATTTGAAATGCCTGTTCAAATCTGATATGAAACATTTTGTTAATGTCTTTAGCATTCATATTCACGTAGAAGAAACTATAAGGTGCGTCATTAACGGCTTGATGATACATATCTAATAATTGCTGTTTATCAACAATGGCTCTATTTTCTTCAATAAAACTCATTAACTCACTTGCATTTTTCAACCTAATGAACTGGCATTTAAACGAATGATAGGCACTAAAACATTATATTTTTGTGTTGAACAAATTACACTTACTGCATCGTGCCTGCCTCTTGTAAAAAGTCCGTGTAATAATTTACTATATCTAACAAATTTAGGATCGTCTGCGTGGTCATCTACAACGATTAATATTGAATGCGTGGTCATCTATATGGATTGTAATTATCAAAATAAATTTGTTCTTTTTCATCATCCACGTGCAATTCATCCCTGATGTATTTTTCAACTTCTGTAAAAGTTGGGTCATTATAAACGCTGGGGGAAAATATAAATATTCTTGCAAATGAATTTCTATAAACATTCAAGATAAGGTTTTGGACTAAAACTGTTTTGCCTCCCGTCGATGAAGCAACTAGAATACTTCTAAATGGTAATTTTAGCACGTGCTCATATTTGGATTGTTTGAATTCATATTCAGTTATGTTTATTGGTTTTATTATTGGGACATCTGTCATAGTTGATATTAAAGAAATATAGAAAATTATACTTAAAATTTAACTTGTCATTAATATTAAATGGAACATCATTATGTTATGAGTGGCGGTGAATAACATAATGGAACAGGTTTTCCATTGCTACAATCAATAAGCATTGAAGATAATTAGTTGTGTGTTTTGCTCGCGTGTGCAATGAAGACCAAGTGCTGTGCCCCACCAATAGCGATGAAGGGAGGGGCAAATGATAGATGAGATCCTGCTTTTTTTAGCTAAAAAGGTAGGTCATGCAGGGGGGGGTGAGCATATATACATATATATTTTACCACATGCATATGCACACATACACACACATACACACATACATACATACATACATACATACATACATACATACATACATACATACATGCATGCATGCATATACATATGTAGACACAGATGTAAACATGCTACACACACACACACGCACGCATAGCAAGTTTGCACATGAAATTTGGCATCCCCAAGGCCCTTGGATTCTCCAGCCCAGCCTGCTTGCCAAGGTTCAAGGACGAGCTTGACATGATTGAAGAGCAGCAGCGCCGGCCAAGCTGACTGGCACACTCAGATTCGGGTGAATGTTTGCTGCAAGACGTGTGTGTTGTTACTCGCCCGTGTGATGCATCACGACGGTTTCGCGAGGTCAAACAGAGCCCTTGTGTCACCGTATCACCGTCTCACATATTTTCGTCACTCGTTCAGATCCACTGTTGCAAGAAAATTAAAGGGCGTGCAGATTCCGTAGGCGCCTAGCAGCCCAGTGAGGAGCATACCGGTTGTGAGGTGGCCGTTCTGAGATCAACCAAGGTGTTTGTGTTTCTTTCCCTGCCCAATCAATGCTTTTGCGACCTGCACTTCTTCCATCGCTGGGTGCTGAGGTGCTGCGATGGCACCGTGCCAAGTGACCCTGCCCCGACACCGAGCCGGGAGGGACTGAGTGCCGAAGTGTCCGGAATGAAACTTCCGGGGGGGGGGGAACGTGAAAGTTCGCTTTTTGTTTGTTCCTCCGAACTTAACGGTGGCACAAGGCAGCACCATGGCCCAAAAACAGCCATCTTGCACCACTGGCTAGGGGTCATGCGGCTGGTTGCATGCAGAAGGTGCCAGCAGCCCTTCCGTTGGCTTCAGGGCTGGAGAGGGCCGTAATGCTGCCAGGCCGAACAAAAAGAGCGGCTGACACAGAGAACAAGGATGTCGCCAACTTTTGACGTTGGAAGAGCATGCTGGAAATTCTTGCAGGCGTAACGCAGTTGCCTTCTTGTTGGAAGTTGCTGGGCAGAAGCTGCAGAGCTAGAAACTACGTGCAAGATAACAAACTGCCGGCGGCGCGCCATGCGCCTTCGGTGAACTTAAGCTAGGCTGGGTGCTTCCTCGCGGTACCAATTGTTGGCCATGCAGTGAGCCAGGCTGATGGGGCGCAGGGACAGCCGGGACAGCAGAGCAGCTTGGAATATTGCAGAGCTTGGGGTAAACGGGTACGGGACTCGGGGTGTTCTGCCCGAGCATTTGTCGATTCGGCCCCTATCGCAAGCCATCCGAGGACCGCGGCCCCCGTGCGCGGTCCCGCAGATCGGAGGACGGGGCCGGGCAGATTTTCGCCCCTAGACATTTGGGACACGTGTTCTCGGACTGCCTTGTCTTCATGATTCATGGGCGCCCCAGATTAGTAAACCCCTGGTTGATGAATAGGGTTGGAGGGTACGCTCCCCCCTAGTCATGGGAAGGGTGTGTTAGTTTGGTGTCAACATGATGCCTTCTGAATCTTTTAGAAGGGGCAGTTGCTTGCAGAAATCTGTTACTTAGGCCATGACGAATGATTTTGCGTGCCTACCCAGCTGTCCAGACAGGCAATGAACTGGTCAGCCAGTCCTCGGATTGTTGCTGCGCTGCTGACCCCACAACATGTTTGCCACCTCCGTGTGAGGACAAGCGGGATAGATCTCGAAGAAGGTCGGAACGGCGAGATCGCGATCGCGATCGTGATCGTGATCGAGACCGTGATCGCGAGCGGGAACGCGAGCGTGACCGCGAGCGGGACCGCG